TGAGTATGTGCCCAGCCAACGTGTGTCTCTGCACGCCCCCCCACCCCCGCCCAACAAAGAACAAGTCAACCTAAATGCCCAGTATGCTGCGGCTAGAAAACCCCAAAGAAACAATGAATTCTTAGCCGACAAAGAGGGTAAACCTTAAAGAAGAAACTAGGCAAACTGAAATGTTCACAGAAAGGTGCTTCAGAGCTGACTCTTTCAAAGCTACCCCAATGAGATGGCAACACAAGAACTCGGGGATATGTTCCCAATACACATCACACGTAGCTAAGGATGGACTTGCAGAGGGCATATGCTTCTTGAAACCCTTGAAGGGCTCAGTGAGATGCCCCTGCTCTCAAATATTTAAGGCACAGAAGACAAGAATGCTTCTAAGTCAGAAAAAGATACCAAACAAAAGATGGCCCTAAAAGACGGCCAAGGGCCCTGGGCAACAAAGTGGACGGGCCGGGGAGAGACCACAGTGGCAAAGCAAAGCACTGGCCTCGCATGCAGCCGCCCCAGGTTCCATCCTGGCACCCCACATGGTCCCCCAAGCATCACCAGGAGTGATTCCTCAGGGCAGAGCCAGGAGCAGCCCCAAGTGTTGCTGGGTGTATGCGCCCCCACCCAAAAAAAAAAAAAAAATCAAAGTGGCTCTGAGACAGCTCCACAAAGTCAAGGACGGGGACCCCCAGCAATTGGAATCGGGGGCGTTCCATACACACCCTCCTTCACCATGGTGTAAATTAGCCCTGGGAGGGGTCGGCTGTGAAGCTAGGGATAAACACACCCGACAGAGCCCTGGACACGCTGCCTTTATTCCTCGAAACTCTGAGCAGGCACTTCGGAGCTACTCTTGGAGCAAAGAGAAAAATCCCAGCACGAGGGATTCACCCACCTCCCTGTGGGGGTCTTCCTGGGGAGGGGGGAGGGTGGTGCCCAGGCCACTAAGTGAGCCGGGTGCCTGTGCCAGCCGTGCCTCTCCCTCCTCTGAGTGAATATTGGGACACATCCTCGTAATTCACACATGGGGGTGTGGGGGAGACCTTCCCAGCACTAGGAGGGAAGGACTCCCACTCTCCCCCCACCCCGGTCTCAGCTACTTCCACCTCTCCAGAAACTCCCCAAGCCCGGCGGGGGTCGATCCAGAGAAGGGAGAGCTGGGAGATAAGGAAGATCTTTTTCCAATAAAAAGGTGTTGGGGGGGTGAGGGGGGGAGCAATTCCTGCAAAGAAATGAGCTCATTTCTGCCCCAGCCCCGCTCGTGGGGCCCAGACTGTTTCCTATACCAACGACCAAGCAAATTCTTTTTCTCAAGCCCCTCTTTTTTTTTTTCTTTCTTAAAATTTCCCTCTTGAACCCCTGATAAAAGACAAAGTGCAAGCAGGAATTCATTTCCTGGGAATGGGTCAGAATGCTGCTGTGAGCAGGAGGCAGGCCATCCAAGGGCCCGTAATTAGCCATCTCGGCGTTTCTACACATTTATTGTTGCAAGAAATGTATACACACAAATGGATGGGGGCCAGGCTTCACATGTGGCCCAAATTAGGCATCTGAGCAATGTTCCCTCGGAAAAAAAAAAAATCTCAGGGAAGGGAAAAAAAAAATCCATGGAGAGAGCAACTAACGGCCTCACCTCCCAGCTGGATTCTTTATTCTCTTGTCCTCGACATACTAAAAAAAAAAAAAGGAAAGAAAAAGAAAAACTTTGCAGCATTTGTACCCTAACAGTTTGGAGGGGAAAGGGAAAAGTTTTGGAGAACAATCTGCAGCGTCTCGGCCGGTCCCGGGGGCCGGCCCGCAAGCATCTCCGCATGCATCTCCCGCAGGCGGCTCCTTAAGGATGTTAACACCTCGGTGGGGTGGCGGGGGGCGGCACTCTGGGAGTCCGCGCGGCCTCTGCCCCCGACCCCCGCCCTGGGGCCCCTCGCGGGTCCCAGCCCGGCGACCTTCGGCCGCTGTCCCCCGCTGTCCCCGCAGCCCCCGCGCGCCCCGGCCTGGCTCCCCGCCGCCCCCAGAAGGCGCGGGGCGGGGGGATGGGGGTGGGGGGCACTGCCAGGCCAGGGCCATCGGGTCCAGCAAAGCCCCCGGCTGCCACGATGGCGGCCTCGACTCCCGCCCGGCCCTCGGCGAAGCCGCCTTTGTCCCCGCCGCGGCCTTCGACGACGGGCAGGGCCGCGCCGTCCCCCGGCGGCGCGCACCGGGGTTCGAGCGACCCCCAAGAAGAAACTGCACCCCAGGAATGCATGCGGGGCGCCGAAGCCCGGCCGACGGGCACCCCGCAAGCGGCCCCGAGGAGGCCGCGGAGAAACAATACTGGCCCCCGGTTCTCGAGAGCGGGCCGGGCGGGGGGTCTTCTCGGGAGGGGGGGCCCCCGCCCCGCAAGGCGAATCCCCCTTTTGGAAACGGGGAGGCCACGCAGCCGGGGCTCGGCGCCCAGCAGCACATTGTCTGCCCCACCCCCACCCGCTGCCTCGTGGTCTGGCGGGCGGATTCCTGGGGCCCAGGCAGCAAGGCCAATGACCACGACGGTTTTCCACGGGAAAACGGGGGTTGGGGACACATGATCGATTTACGAGCTTCGGTTCTGTGATCCCTGCGTCTGGGTGGGGCGGGGGTGGTGGTGAGAGTCGGGGCTGGGGGGTAGGGGCGGCGGCTGGGCGACCCAGGGGCTAAAAACAAACAGTACCACTTGCAAAAAAAAAAAAAAAAAAAGGCAGCTATTACAGACTCGAGGGCAGAGAACCGGGTGGGCTATTTACATTTCAGCCCAACAGACGCCAAGGCAGGGAATAAAAAAAGGCCACTTAGCGCAGTCTGCTCTGGCCATCCTCGGAGGGGCTTTTCAAAGCTGGGCTGGGCCGAAGGCCTCGAAAGGCCCCTGCTTCTCAAATATGTGCTCAAGTTGAGGGACTCTCAGCCACTGTTACCTCATAAACGTACACGATTTTTTTTTCACACCTCTTTCTGCCCACCTAGCACCCTACCCCCCCACCAAAAAAAAAAAAAGAAATCTTAGCAAAAAAAAAAAAAAAAGAGATTTAAGCCAAGGCACCCACTTAAAACGGGAACAAATAAAAAAAAATTTAAAAAAAAAACCCTTCACTTGGCAGGTATTGGGTTTCAAGCAGAGATGACACGTGGCTCTGGAGAAGTCTCAATGCGAAACCACAGGGCAGTTAACAGGTGGGCACAAAGGCGCCCACGCCCAGCGCCCTTGACTGCCAGTTTGCTGGCCAAAAACTACCTGGCCGCAGGAGTAAACCCCAAGGGGCTGCAGAGAACCTCTGGTTCCCTGACAATGCCTATCACGGCAGGGCAACACTGGCCATAAGATAGGATCGCCATTTCCTGCTGGGCCCTAGACGCCTGCTTCCAGCTGCAGATGACGTTAATGAACAGCCAGTTCAAGGCACTGCAAAAAATGAAGGCCCCCGGGCATGGGCCACGGGCTGGGACGCTGCCCCCAAGGCCAAATCTAAGTGTGGCGACAAAGAAATCATTTTCCAGTCGCCAACTTTTTTTTAAGGATGTGGTGGGGACACGCAGCCATTATCCCACGTTCCTGCTGGTCCAGTGTCAGTCTCCGCCTGACCTTGCTCCCTTTTCTGCCTATCACGCGGCCTCCCTTGAGTAACTAAGTATCTGAGGGCAGCTAACTGGGCCTCTGCTTGGAAACAAAAGTCCACTCTTCCTCTCTTCCAAACACCAGGCGGGAGAAAATTAAAAGTGTGCCCCTGCGCGGGTGCAGTCCATTGTGGACTTAGCCTGGCTCCCCGGGGAAAAATTAATTCCGCCAGGTCTGAGCTCAGGGATGCTAGCAAGACCGTCTCTGATACCAGGAGCCCCCAAGAAACTTAGCAATGCCCACCCCACCTCAGCGCCCCCCCCCCAAAAAAAAAAGTTAAAGGGTCTTCAACTTTACTCGGAGTTGTAACTCGCTTGGGTCAGAAAAAAAAAAGGTGGGGGAGGGGGCACTAGTGGCCTCGGCCGTTGAGCCCCAGAACTTTCCATTCCTCCTTTCGACTGAAGCTTCCAAACACTCAATAAAAGCTGGATTTTCCACCAGCCGAAAGCGTCGGCGAGGCCGCCGGTGAGAAATTTCTCGGGATTGGCCGCTCCCCAGCCCCGGGAGCTCGAGCCACGGCTGGGATTTCGCGGTCCTCGACCGGGCTCACGATTATACAACCACGCTTCCCGCGCCGAGGGTCCACGAGCATAATCCACCCGGAGACAATGACATCATGTGAGCTACCAGACAGGAAACTGGGCTCGGAGGAGCGAAGGGTAAAGTCGCGAAAGCCCGTTCAGAACGTGCAACCCCCACCCCGCCAGATCAAAAATGAAAAGGCGAGGGCGGGGGGGGGGGGAAGTCACCTTCTGCAGGGGGAAAGAAAAACCAAACTACTTGAAAGATAAAATGAAAAATCCACTTGCAGGAAATCGATCCGCAAATGAAACAAACCGCCCGACCCTCCTCCAACTTCAAGGCCACTGGCGCGGAGGAGTCGTTCCCCGCCGAGGGGCCGCCCCGAGGCGCAGCCGGCCCCGCAGAACTCGCAGGAAAACGTGGGGTGGGAACAAAGCCGAGCGGCGGTGCCTGCGCCCGGCAACTTTGGCAGGCGCCCGGCGCGCGGGTGCCCGAGTGTCAACCCGCTCGGGTCGGGGCGGCCGGCCGCTGGCACAACAAAGCCGCCCGGGACCTTCGTGACAGCCACAAGTGGCCCGACGGCCGCCCCCACCCCCCCACGGGCCGCCGATCGCCCCGCGCGCGTCCCGGGCCCCCCCAGCCCGCGCGCGCGACCCCGGGGTCTCCCCCGCACCCGTGCCCCGCGCGTCGGCAACTTTCCCTCGGTGGGACGGGGCGCTCCAAAGCCAGCCCCGAGAGCGCTCCGCGCACCCCCCACGCCGCCGTTTCCCTCCGGCGCCCCAGTCCCCCCACCCACCCCCACCCAACCCCGCGGCGCGCCTCGGGCGGCGCGGGCGAAGCCGGCGCCCGGCGAGCCACCCACCTGCACAGCTCGGGGAAGTCGGCGCCCTGCGCGCGCGCGGCCCCGGCGGCCCAGGCGAGCAGCAGCAGCAGCTGCAGCGCGAGCCGGGAGCGCAGCGGGCGGCCGGGGCGCTCGGGCCCCAGGTGGGCGCTCCGGGCGGCGACGGCCCCCATCGTGCCGGGCCCGGACGGCGCGGCGCGGCGGGGCGAAGGGCGCGCGGCGGCGAGGGGCCGCGGCCGAGGCACGGTCTGGCCGCCGGGACGGGGCGCAGCGGCGCGGGCGCAGCGGCGCGGGAGCCGAGCGAGAGCCGAGCGAGTGCCCGAGGGGAGCGCGGCTCGGCTGGGCTCGGCAGCAGCCGCGGCGGCGGCGGCACCCCGTCACGTGACCCCGGCCGGCACCGCCCCCGCCCCCGCCCCGCTCACGTGACTCCCTTGTTCAGGTGATCCCCGCCCGCCGTGGCCCCGCCCCGCCCCGGTCACGTGAGCGCGGCGGGCGCGGGGCTGCGAGCGAGGCGCGCGCGGGCGCAGGTGTGGGGGCCCGGGGCGGGGGGCGCTCGACGCCCCCTCCCCCGCCTTCGGGGGTCGGTTCCCCGTCCCCCCGGCGCGACGCGGCGCTCGGCGGGCGCGGGAACTCGGGCGCCAGCTCGCGGCCGCCAGTGCCCGCGCGCGGCCGCGGAGCTTCGGGGCCGCGAGCCTGGCGGGGGACACGCGCGTTCCCCCGCCCGGGGGTGCAGGGTGGGGGTGGGGGCCGATCTCCCGGGACACGACCTCCCCGCGCTCCCCGCCCCCACCCCCGGGAGCCGGCGGCGCCCGGCGCGGGCTTGCCCCCGCAGGAAGGCGGCCCCGGGGAGGGGCACGTGTCGTGCAGAAACGTCCCTATGGAGAGCGGCCACGCAGCCGAGCTGAGCGAATGTCTCTGCAGCTCCGGGGTGGCTGCCACGTCGCGTGGCGTGCCGCTGAGCCAAAGCACAAAAGCTCGCTCTGAACACACGGGACACTGAGCAGTCTCGCCTCCGCCTCGGAGCGAATGAAAGAAAGGCTGGAAGAGCAGAGCGGGCGAGCCCTGTCCGTGGCGGGGCCGCCTTCACAGGCGGGAACCGGGACACCAGCGCGGGGTGGGGGAAGGTGCGGGGAGGATCTTGTTGCAGGTGAGGAGCCGGTGATGAAATTCACTAATTTACCCAAAGACACTTTCGGCAGGCCAGGCTGGGATTTGCACCAATCATGATAAGGTAGTAGGTAACATTTGAGCAGGTAATTATGTGCCAACCAGCGTTCTGGTGTTTGAGCTCATTTAATCCTAACAATCCTTGTTAGGGGGAGGTCTCTTTACAAATAAGGAAATTGAGGTGCAGAGATTAAGTAACTTGACAGGTCATGCAGCTAATAAGTGAAAAGGCCAGGCTTTGAGCGCAAGCCAAACGGAGAGCCTGCGGGTCAGACACTGTGCAGTAATTGTAGCCAACGCTGCGGAAAGGAAATACAGCCTAAGACAGAAAAGTGGTATGGAGTCCGTGAAAATGCTTAGATGCGTGTAGTGTAGGCATCAAGAAAGGGTTTTTATTTTCAACCCCGATGTTAGTAACTATGCAAAGATCTTCAACAGACACTAAAACTATCAGGTGAAAATTTATTGCAACCCAGAACATTCCCCATCTCCAAGGGGAAAAAATATATCATAATGGAAAGGGCTGGTAGAACCAACTTCATCAAATGATTAGAATGAGTATCGCCTAATATTTGGAAAAGCTAGCTTTTTCTGTTTCCTAAAGTGATGCAATGAAAAATATTGCCTTAGGGTAATATCTTAAAAGAGGGTATAATCATGACTCAGATGCAGATGTAAAATGAACATGTGTCGAGATACTACTTAACTCATTAAATAATGTAAGAGCCAGCAACATGTTGCAACTGGTAAGGAAAATCCAAAGTGAATCCAAAGCATATAGCAGTCAAGAATGCTGAGTTCAGTTGCCTAATGGAAAATTGGTCAATATCCATAGATAATAAATCAGCTGAAGGACCTGAGATATAGCACAGGGGTTAAGTCATTTACTTTGCATGTGGCCATTCTCAATTAGATCCCCAGTACTGCATTTGGTCCCCCAAGCTCCTTCAGGCATGCGTTCTGGCCACAGAGCCAGGAGCAGGAGTAAGCTCTGAAGACCAGCAGGTGTGGCCCAAAATCTTAAAAAAAAAAAAAAAAAAAAACTGAAGGGCACTCAATAGTAGAACATTGTTTCAATATATGAGATCTGGGTCTGTCCCCCATACTGGAGGTTGGGGGTGAAGGAGATAGAGCAAGGAGATAACTCAGAGGGTTGGAGCACAATCTTTGTACGGGTTCTTCCTGGGTTCAATTTCTAGCCCTTGTGGTCCCTTGACCATCAAGTTGCTAAGAGTAGGTCACATTCAGACACTCCGAATGTGGTTTCAGAAGCTAACAGCAACAGCAACTGCATACCAAGAAACACAACTTGCATCTGGAGACAAGTCTCATAGATACCTCTGTCAGGGCTCCGAGATTTGGAGTTGTAAGACAGTCACAAAACCCTCATCAAAACTGTTCAAAGAAAAGTGACAACAGGTTCAACATGGAGGCACTTGTGCTAAGCCTTGTGTCACCAAACAAAGGCGTAATACCTAATGGGATAATGGTTTCAATCTCTCCCAGGAAAAGAATTTTAAATCAGTCAATCTGGAATTACTTAACACTAAGGAAGTAATCTTCCCAATAGACCCTTGCAGTCCATGGAAGAAAAATGGCCGAGTCCCTGCCAATTTGTTCTCTGCGGCTCTCTCCTCCCTGGTCCACTCCCTTTTGTTTTTCTGTCTGCTCCTCAGAACTCCTTTCTATCTGCTAGATCCGGTGCTGCCCAGTGCGTGGATCCTTGAAAGAAAGCCAATGGGATCTTTAAAGTGTGTTCAGTTGAATTTAATTGTTTATCACATCAGCCCAGAAGAATGTCCTCGACAATGCCTGGCTTTCCCAGTAGTGTTGTCATCCATGTCAACATCCTACACAGTCCTCCCTGTAGAACTCAAAAGCATTCACGTGGCGTTCTTGCCAAGATGTTTAAATTGAACTAGAAGAAGACAATCATCTCCAGGCTGAAACATTCTAAGAGAAAACTGAACTGGATTACACCAAAATGTCCTTGCTTTGAGGAGCCCACCAACAACAACCCTAATTCCCACACCCTCACCCAACAAAAGGGGGAAAAAAGATGAGCGTTTTTTCTAGTTCAGGGTACCCCACCAGAGTCTGAGGGAGCAAATCTGGCCACTTGCTGTTCTGTAAATAAAGCTTGACTGGGAGAGAGCAGCGCCTCTGTCTGCCTTCTCGGATTGCATTTCCTGCAAGAGTCAGATTTGCTTGGAGTGGCTGCAGAGCCTGAACTCCTTGACCACCTGGTGCTCTGTGCTGTACCAAACCCTGTTCCAGCAACTTCGGCCCAACTGAGTTTTTTTTTTTTATCACCACCTGCAAATTTGTTAGAAATGCCAATGTGTGGGCCCACTCTTAACTGATTCAAAGTCTGCTGGTTTTGAACCAACTCTGAGAGATTTCCACATGCATGAATGTTTGTGAGCCACTGTACTGAATTAATGGAGAATAAAGAGACAAGACAACAAATTAAATGCATGGTCCTTTACGGGTCCAGGACAGGAAGATATAAAGGACACTAGGGGATGGATGAATAGGAAAATGGATATCAGCTCTGCGCTCAAGTCACATTCGAGAGAGGACAGAGCTGCTCTTTGCTTTAAATTTTACAGCACACCTTTGAAAAAAACAGAGACGGAGATGAGAGCCCAGGGCCCCACGCTATGGGGTGAATTATGTCCCTCCAAAAAGATATGTTGCAATCCTAACCCCCATTACTTTAGAATGTGACCTTATTGGAAAATGCAGTCATTGCAGATGGAATGAGTTAGCATCGGAACATTCCTGCGCAGGGTGCGCTGTGCGTTGAACGGGACTAGGGTCTTTAGAAGAAGTTGTCGGGGCTCAGGGCAGGCTGCCCCAGAAGAGCCGAAGTGGCATATTTATTATTTTCAATTAGGGTTGCTTGGGAAACAGCCAATAAAGAAATGATAGTCTGAACCTCCCTGTCTCCTAAAAGTAGGTAATAAATCTCGGCGGTGAGCAGCCCCCCCACCCCAACTCTGGGGAAAGCACCCTCTTACTCCCCCACCCCACCAGGAGAGACTTGCAGGGTCTCTTTCTTCGAGTGAATGAGCCCTGCTTAGTTCACAAAATCAGTGTTCAAACCTCAGCGTCCTTTGTCCCACCAGTTCTTCAGGACTGTCTTGCTTCTTTGTCTGAGAGACAGACAAGCAGCCCATGCTAGTTGTTCCTTTGCACCCTGGGATGTCTCCTGTGTGCAAATTAAATGGAGATGTATTTCCCCTCCTGTTCATGCCTCTTTCACTGACAGGGTTCTCTGCTAAGAGTCTAGAGGAGAAGATGAAAATGTTCATTCCCAGCAAAGTGTAGAATCACAGAAATAAGATAGCCATATGGAGAAGGCCAGGGGAACCTTGGCCAGCTCAGCTCCGGAGAGTCTCAGCATCTACCAAAGCTAGAAAGGGCAGTGACAGAGCCTGCTCTGAGTCCACTGGCTCTGGGGTCCAAGCTCTGGCCTCCAGGCTTGTGAGAAGTTTCTGTCACAGCTCAGTACCCTGGAGCCTCAATCCTCATTGATTGTCTTGGAAACTCTGACTGCAAGCTCAGAAACGTCTAATAGAACCAGACCCTTGAATGACATCTCTATTCCACATGAGCTGGACCTATCTTCCTTCCTTCCTTCCTTCCTTCCTTCCTTCCTTCCTTCCTTCCTTCCTTCCTTTCTTCCTCCGTTCCTTCCACCTTCCCACCTTCCTTCTTTCCTTCCTTCCTTCCACTTTCCTTCCTTCCTTCTTTCTACCTTCCTTCCTTCCACCTTCCTTCCTTCCTCTTTTTTCCTTGCTCCTTCCGTCCTTCCTTCCTTCCTTCCTTGCTTCCTTCCTTCCTTCCACCTTCCTGCCTTCCTTCCTTCCACTTTTTTCCTTCCTCCCTCCTTTCTTTCTTTCTTCCTTCCTTTCCCTCCCCCCGCCCCCTCTTCTTTCCTTGGGAGTGGTGCAGTTACTCCTGGCTATGATTATGGGAACATGCATTACTGGGGAGGCGAGCTCCTACTGACAAG